AAAAATAACAAGGTCATGGCATTTGCAGGGAAATGGATGGCATTAGAGCAGATTATGCTAAGTGAAGTTAGCCAATCCCTAAAAAACAAATGCCGAATGTCTTCTCTGATATAAGGGGGGGGGGTGACTCAAAATGGGATAGGGAGGAAGAGCATGAGAAGAAGATTACCACTAAATAGGGAAGAGAGGTGGGAGGGAAAAGGAGGGAGAAGGAGAGTTGCAAGGAAGATAGAACGAAACCCTCATCATTATACAGAATACATGTATGATGTTGTGAGGAAGAAAATTTTTTTATTTAGAAAAAAAAAGAATACAAATAATAAAAATTGCTGGTAATGATACATTTATTATGTTGATAACAGAACTCATATATATTCTTTGTGAAATTGTAAATTAATGCAACCAACATAGAAAACAATATGGAGGTTCCTCCAAGGATTAGTAATGGAACCACCATATGATCCAGACATACCACTCCTCAGTGTTAAACCAAAAAAAAAAAAATTAAAGACAGTGTACTATAATGATACATTCATCCCATGTTTATAGCATCAAAAGTTATAACAGTTAAGTTATGCAATCACCTAGGTGTCCGTTTTTTGGGGTCTTCTAGGTATAGAATCATATCATCAGCAAATAGTGCTAGTTTAAGTTCTTCTTTTCCTATAGTTATTCCTTTAATTTCTTTTGTCTGTCTAATTGCTCTGGCCAGTGTTTCAAGAACTATGTTGAACAGAAGTGATGAGAGAGGGCATCCCTGTCTTGTTCCAGATTTTAGAGGGAATGCCTTCAGTTTTTCTCCATTTAGAAATGATGCTGGCCTGAGGCTTAGCGTAGATAATGTTAACAGTTCCCAATATCAATAGGACATCATCTATGAGCAAGTTTTCATTATTAATACATTTATAGTTAGACTCTATTTCTACAGATGTTGGCTTCAATCATTATTTAAAATATAGTCATTGGTTTCATAAAAGGCCATTTCTGGTGGCATATGGAAAACCGAGGGTCAGGCATAGGACATTATATTAAGGGGGAAAGGAGTGACAGTACGGGGTTAATCTAACTTAGCAACTTTGGAGAACTCTAACGAATAGACAGGGGTAATTTACAGAAGAATGTACACAAACTCCTATCTGTATTTAGAAAATCACCCTACATATAAATAGTAAAAGTTAGGAGGCTGAAAGTGGGATAGGGGGAGGAAGAAAAAAATAACAGGGAAAGAAAGAAAAAAAAGTGAGTGGGAGAAAGAAAATAAGAAGAAGAAAAAGGGGGGGAAGGGGGGCATATGCAATTCCTCTATATTATATTATTCTGGTGATTAAGTTGTTAAAGTCCTATTTCATGCAAAGTTCTTGGTTTCACAAATGTTGAGGTTGTGAGGACCAGAGGTTGAAGAGTAAAGGAGATTGGATGAGAAGAGCAAAAAAATAAAAGAAAGAAAGAAAAGTCTCAGAACTCTGTTTTCTTTTCTTGCAGTAGGTGGAGTTGTCTAGTCCTGGCTTGAGTCTCTGCGTTCAGGATGGTGGAGGTAGCCAGTGTGAGAGGGCTTGAGCTTCTACCTGGAGCCTCCTTACTCTTAGTCTCTGAGTTGGAAACCAAGTGCCTGTACAGTTGCTGTTACATATTGATAGTTACGCACCGCCCCCCCCCCCCAAAAAAAAAAGCTTGTGGGAAAAATTTTGAGTTATCACAGCTGGGGTTGGGGAGTTGGAAACCAGGTACCTGATCAGCCACAGAACCACGCTGGTAGCCACGCTCACCGATAGATGGGGAGTAAGGTTTTCCAAGATGGATTCCGTCTGTTTCCCGCATAGGGTATTTGGTGAGGTGGGGGATACTGGGGTGACCTTGTGCTTTGTCCAGAGCTAGGTCTGGTGACCCGCAAGCAAAGCCTCTGTGTTCTGCACCAAGCACCACGCAGCTCCACCTTCCACCTGTGCCGAGCGCCGTGCCTTCCATCTCACTTTATACTTCTTGTATATGCTTTTTTCAGAGAGTAATATTCTGAAAATACAAAATTATTATAACTTGTAGTTAATAACCATTTTCATTTCTTAAGAAATTTTTTGCTATGTGTCAGAAGAATAATATATTGAAATAAATTTTGAATTCATTTTTTTGGCCAAATTCTTATTATAGAAACAAGATTTGCTCTATTGAGAAATAATGTCCAACCAATTAATGACTATGATATTTTGTTATTAGAAACCTAAAAATTATTATGATACATTCATTGGAAGACTAAGAATTGAAAAGGAGTAAATACAAGACTAAGTTGTACATTATTTATTATGCTACAAATGTCTTAATATCATGAACTTTTAAAGCATAAAGATGAAGATGGACAAATATGCATATAATACTTCTATACACACTAATAATGCCTGCTAATGAAAATGAAGCCATTTAGAAAAGACCTGTCTTTTCATTATGCTAACTATACTGATATATGCAAATGCTTAATTTGTAAACACATTTTCCTGGTATTGTGCATTTAATTTTTATTACATAATGGTAAAAATGCATAACTAATTATTCTTTAATGGTGATTAAAATAAGAGAACATATCACAAATAAGAAATATTAAAGAAATCTTTAACAGGGTTTGTTCTATAGACAGTGTGTTTGTTTCATTGATATTTTGAATTTAAGCTTGGTAACACTGAAATGGAGCAAGATATCAAACAAGAATATAGACATTATAAATTAACTGATACTATTTTATCCCATGAAAACACTTTCTAGTTTTCATAAACATGTAGTCTATCAATTAAAAAAATTGAATGACTGCTTACAAAATTCCAATTTGTAGATAGTTTAAGCAAATATACATTATTTTAAGTGTGTAATTTTTTATATACTGTGGAAAATTGAAAATTTTCTAACTCCTTCATTCAAACTCAGGGACTAACAGTTTCAAGGACAATGCCCAATTTCAAGTTTGAAAATTTGAAAATCTTGTCTTCCTTGTAGTTATCAAAAATGGTTTATATTTACAGTCAGTTTATATTTACAGAAACAATGCTAATTAATATATTTCAAATGGGTAGTTTTCAACTACAATTAACTGCATTAAATATATTAACAAATAACAGAATTATCAAAGATTAGTAACCCATAAAATCTTGAACAACTGTGAGTCCTGCTCCATGAGTCAGAAAAAAAAAATAGTTCTATTCTTTAATACCCCTTTAAATTTGTTCCATGCCATAAAAATCCTTCAATGACTAGGTTTTTAGATGCTCAGACTCTATAGGATTCTGCAGACAAGTCCAGGCAACAGTAGGCATTTATTCATTTTCTACAGTCTACAGATTCCTAAACGCATGACATTCATTATCATTACATGTATAAATAAAAAGACATATGTATGGTATATATCATTCCTTATCTAAAAAATAAAAATCTGCAATATTCCAAAATCAAAACATTGGAGACCCATTGTGATGCTACAAGTAGAAAATTACACATCTGACCTCCAAGTATGGTCACAGTCAGAATACAGGTGCACTAAATATATTGCATATAATACTAACTTCAGGATATGTGTAAAGGTGTGTGTAAAGTACTCATGCATTTCTTGTTTAGAATTGAGTTTCATTCCCAAGGTAACTTATGTAATTGAAAACATTTCAAAATCTGAGAATTTGAAACCCTTCTCCCAAACATTTCAGCATAGACATTGAATCTATTCAATCATTCAATCTAAGTGCATGGGGTGTAGGTGGATGGGTTTGTGTATGTGTTCCATGAAATCCAGTATTTAATTACTCCCACTGGAAAATTTACTCAGATATATAATCTGCCATAACCCTAATAAAATTTCTAGTTGATCAAATGAAACATTTCTTCCTTTTTGTTTGTTTCCTCTAGAAATTGCTGCTAAAATTATTACAGATTACAAAGGAAAACATTTATATTTTAAATGCTAAAACTAAACAATAAAGTTTTGCTATAATAATAAATGTCTTACTAAGTGGTATAAATAACAAGGATCTACTGGCAAATTATAGATGGGTAACTGCAAAATTTTGGAGCACATATTTAAAGAAATAAATGCCAACGATCATGTGATGCTTCAGTACTACCCAGTCGGAGAGCTGCAAAATGTTCTTTTAAGGTTCCTGTGGTGATTTTGAGCCTCTGTTGCATCATGAGGGGGAGGTTTGGGCTGGATCCACTCATTGTTCTTCTTACTTGGGAAGATCTTCTTCCTCAGTACAAAGTCATACTTGACTCAAGGATTCAGGGAATAAAAGATATTTGCGTCATGGGGAATCTTCAGCTCTGGGGAGAGAGGAGAATACAGGTATTAGGTGGCTTTCAACAGATGCACCACAGGACACTCCCAACATCTGAGAGCCTCTGTCAGGAAAGGCATGATCCACAGACCTGCGAGTTCACCAATTCAGCTCCAATACCTACAAAGATGTCCTCAATAGTTCTTCCTGAGGAAAAAATGACTTCAACAGACATAATATCTGTTGCTTTGGCAGAACATTTCAGTTCCTCTTGTATCTGCCATAGGACACTGCAAGGGTTTGCATCCAGAATCTCCTGCAAAAGGCTCAAATGTTGAGTGACTGGTCCCCAATTCAGCAATGATCATAGGTCAGTTTTGGGGGAAGCATTCGATGGTGAGTGCTCTGATGTTATCATGAAATACTCATTCAAGATGAATACAATACTGGGAGGTGGTATGAACTGCAGCTAGTTTGGGCATGGTTGAAGAAAGACCTGCACAGAAGAGGGCCTTTGGTAGGTGTATATTTTCCCAGTTGGCTCCCCTTAATCTTCATTCTCCTAGTAGTATTCCTCATCCTCCTATCTTTCTTTCCCTCCCTCTATCACCCTCATTCTCTCTCTCCTAATCTATGCCCTGATTGGCAAGAAGCTGAGTAACTTTCCACTGCCATACACTTATGTCATTATAGACAGATTCAGTGCATAATCAAATGGAGAGCAATGAGACCCAGAGCCAAAATCCATGATTTCTTTTCTAAGTTATTTTCCTCAAGTATTGTCACAGTGAGAAAAGGCTAACCAATACACATACCACATTTTAGCCATGCTCCTGCCATTGGTGGTGCCTGCCTCCATGTGGTCCAGGCTTCCTAGAATGGATGCCATATCACAAATGCTACCCTACTGAGAACAATGGTTCCAAAGACCAGGGGAGTAACTGCTTTACTTCAGCATTTTGCTATGGCCCAGGGATGCCACAACCCCAGTGGGTTTCAGACACTCAGCTAGTCCTTCCTCTGAACACCTGTTTCCTGCAGCCTTCCTCTGGCCTACAGCCTGTTCTCAGTCAATGCTGGGCTGGATGTGTGTATCTCTGCTATGATTTCCTTAGCCTACCAAGGCTTCAGCCTTCCTCTTCTGTAAGACTCTACTAACCTAACAAACTTGGTAGATTAATATATGAGATAATTTACCCTAGAATTCCTAGGGGTGGAGTGTTTCAGTGCAGACAGGTTGGGATCATGGCTGCTATGGATGTTTTACTCTCAAAAAAGAAAACAGCAATGGTATTATTTATAGATCAGCTTTGTGGTATACATGCTTAGAAATCCCTCAGATTACTTTAGTTAGGGATAATGATCTCACTATTCTGATCACTTATTGGGAAGCAGACTCTGGCACAGAGGACTTGGGAATTTGTCCAAAGATAGACTATTCGGGCTGTTGCCCAGCCTGTACTTTTTAAAAATTTATTCCTGGTTTTGCTTGCTGGAACACTGACAATACTCCACACAGGCTGTGGTTTTAATGTCATACACAATGCTTTAAATATTGTGCTTCAGGCCAGAAAAGTATCAATTTCATCCTTAGTCCCTGTGTTCCCATCTTCCTCTAAAACCATTCCTATCAGTGGGCTATGGAGCCATCCTGACCCTGAGAGGAAGCTTTCCTCCTTACTCCTCACTGATACCAGCATGGAACGCCTGTTCAGGTCCAGGGAAAAACACATGGTGGGGGTCGCATTAGCCACTGGGGAAGATAATAGAACCTGTAAACCGTTTTTCCAGCCTCAGTGCAGGTTTTCCTGTGCACAACGCCCACCACACCCTGTTTGAGTGTTCTTCTAGGTCAGATACTACTATTTTGAACTACAATTTGTCCTGAGTCCACTTCCAGACCATTGCTCCCTGCCATGAGTAAGACCACTTACTCATGGTCTTCTGAATTCTCCTCCTTTAGCAAGTGTTGGTCCAGAGTCCTGCATATGATTACAGAAGCCCTATCATGGCAGGTCCTGGATCAACATAGGATACAGGCCTTCAGGAAATGGGCCTACCCGAAGGACAGTGGCTACCTGAAGGACAGTGGTCAGGTCATTTGAGTCACCTCAGCTCTAAATAAAAGGATACCATGTCATCACTCTAGTGCCTGAGGGTGGTCTCCTGGTAATCTCGTGGGGTCTTCTGATGGGCTACGAGCCCAATTCTCATACAACACTGTGCTTGTAGCTTCCATTGCCTTGTTTGTGTAGAGTCACATTCCACTCAGAATAAAAGGACCACACAGCCTATGTACAGACACACTCTTCTCCCACCAAGATGGAAGGAATAGACCCTGTCCTCCTATATATCCCTAGTCTACTCTGAGATGCAGGCTGCATTTGTGTGTAGCCCAGGCAGAAGCCCTAGAGGCTTTGATCCTGATTCCCAGGACAAAAACAGACTCAAGGACAAGATCGTGTGTGTGAGTGCTCAATGATAGCCATGAGAGCAACTGGCCTCCTGAGGCTCAGTGCTGACTGGGGTGTATTGGAGCACCTCATTCAGCAAGGGTGATCATTAAAAATGGGATCCTAGAGGTTTAGTTTACACCATATCCATATAAATTCTGCAGAGACCCTCCCAGTTCCTTATTCAAGGGACACAAAGAACCTCATACCAATGTCCTCCATGTGCACCTGCATTCTCCATCCAATACAGTAGATGGGCCTAGGTCCTTTCCTATTCTCATCTCCCACCAATACCTGCCCCTGGACTTCTGGCCTGCCTGCTACCACCAAACATAGACTCCCCCAGACATGGGGGTAGACATACTGGTGCTCTCCCTCCTCTCAGGTCTATCCCTTAACACTGACCTCTCTCTTCCTTGTTTCCATCTATGCTTCCTGACCATTCAGGAGCTCCAATTCTAAAGAGCATGGATAGTCCATGGCATTTGATATGTGTTTGCTCCCTGCCCTGGGTTAAGCATAAGGAGACCTCCCTTCTACTGGTCTTATCAGGACACTCTTACAGTTTTTTCTGCTTTGCTCTTCTAAGCTAATATGAACCAAGAATCTGTCTCCCAAATGCTTGTTTTAGAGGGCCTTGAGGATCTGCTAGTAGTGACTCCTAGGACACTAGGCTTCATGAAGCATTTATTGTCCATAAACCTGTGTCCTCCTTTTGGAGAAAAGGTTCTCCTCCAGGCTGTGGTGATGCTGTCTGTAATTGCAGAGGATACTTCAAGAACTGTGGGGGATGGCAACATCAGCAAACCCAGAAACTGTAAGCCACCCCAGCCTGTCAGTTTGCTCTATAGGGCTTCTAGAACATATAGGAATCTGCGGTTTCTTGCCTCCTTTTGTGGATGTACAGTAGTACCAGAAAAAAAGAGCCAATAAGACCAGTGTTTACCCTCCTTCCTTGATCTTGGCCCACTTGCTGGTGGATCACTTTCCCAGGATGAAGTAATGGTTGACTGGAGAGTTTATGGCACATACGATGTTTCCATTGTCAGGGATCCCATTCTGGGGAGGGAGTGGCAGAAAGGTGGTAGTTGACATTCAAGTAGTACACCACAGGACACACTCAACATCTGAGAGCCTCTGCCATGTCAGGCCATCCACAGACCGTAGAGCCCTCCAATCCAGCTATAGTACTATCAAAGACTTCCTCCGCGCACAAGAACTAAACCAAACTAACACCTTTCAAAGAAAACGCCCCTTGAACACCAGAATGACTCAGTTCAGGTTGGACCTGCCAAAGAACTACTGCTAGTGTTTGTGTCAGAATTTGCCCCCAGTGGCCCATGTGCTGAACCTTTCTTCACAATGCAGGAATACTGAAACATGTGCTTTCAGGAAATTGTTTGATGGTGAGTACCTTGACCTAATCAGTGGATTAATCCATTTATAGATGAATACACTCCTAGAAGGTGATAAAAATTGGAAGTATGTTGGGCATGGATGGAGGATGACCTGAGCAGGAGTATGCCCTCAGGAACAGAAATGTTTTCATGTCTTCCTCTTCCTCCTCATCATTATCCCTCTGATTTGTATTCTTATTCCAGTTATAATTAAACCTACTCTTGTGCTTTTTGTATTCCTCTCTCTTGTTTGCCTCCTTTCCCTCCTCATCCCCCTCTTTTTTCACATCAGTGTGATTCCATTTGTAGCCCATTTTTTCCCTTCTTAGTCAGAGATCATCTTTATCAGTGACCATGGTGCATGCTGCTGCTTGAAGGAGGCTTTCTTCTTTGACCATTATAGATGTCAGCTTTGCAATGAGTGACTGATGCAGGGGAGGACACATGTTAGGGAGGTCCAGCAGCCCCTGGGACAGCACAGAGCACCTGCATATTTTAGGCCCACTTCAGTGCAGTTTCCTTTGTGCACAAGACCCACCACACACTCTGGCTGTTTTTTCTAGGCCAAGGCACTCTTTCTTTCTTTTTTTGGGATGCAAATTGTCTGGAGCCTGCTGGTTGATCATTTCTCCCCACCATCTCGTTGTCCCACTTATTCTGATGCTCTGAGATGATTTATGGGAGCTCAAATTTTCCAAATATTCCTTTTTAAGCAGTGTTGGTCCAAATCCTGCATATCAGCAGGAACCCTATCCTGGAAGGTCACCTGGATCAGCATGAAAAACAGGTCATCAGGGTATGTGGCCTGGAGGTTATGCCCAGACAACAGTGGTCAGAGACATTCAGGAGACACCTCAGCTGTGAACACAAAGGCACCTCTTGTTATCCTGCCACCTAAGGCTGGGCTCCCTGTAATCATATTGGTTCTTCCCATGGGCTACTACCCCAATCCTCATACAATAGTCTGCCTGTAATTGCCATTGACCTGTCTGGAGGCACTTTTCACTCAAGGTAAAAGGACTCAAGAGTCTGTGCACAGATACCTCCTACGCCCACTGAGATCAGAGTAATAGACCAGTGACCCACTATATGCCAGTTCTACTCTAGGATGCAGGCTGATTCTTTACTTGGCACAGGCAGAAATGTTGCAGGCTTTGGTCCTTACAGCCAGGGCAAAAAACAAACTGAGGAACAAG